TGTATATATATTAAAATTTTCTCTACTTTTTCTTCTGCTTGCAGGTAAGCCGAATGTTGCCCTTTCGATGTGTTGCTGATGCATTGGCGAACAATAATTCCGTAAGTTGTAACTGGATAAAGGGGGAGAGGGTGTGTGCTGTGTGCATGTAAAACAACAGCTAATTATCGCTTAATCCGTAGACGTTTTGTCAGACGTGGGTGTGACCCACGCGTTCATGTTGCTGTTGCTGTTGTTGGTGTTGTTGCTGTGGCTGTTGCTGTGGCTGTTGCTGTGTGGGCTGCTGCCACTTTGCATGCAACAAGATAAACAACAACAAACTGCAACAATTGCCGCTAACAACTTGATGCATTTTCATCAACATCGTGCCGCTGGCAATTATATTTCAGCCAAACAATAAATTAATTAAATGAAAAATCGTGCGCTGTCTCTTTGTGAGCAATGTTGTTGTTGCTGTTGCTCTCGTTGTTGTTGTTGTTGTTGTTGTTGCTATTGTTGTCGAGGTTCTTAAGAGACCGACAAAAGATGCCGTGGTATAAGTGTATGTAATTTTAATTGCCCAGCTGCCAAATATGGGCGAACAGTAACAGCAACAGCAACAACGACAACAACAATCAAAAGGCAAGTGCGCACACAGCAGACAGCAACTGTTGCTACGGCTAAATGTTGCTGCAATATGTTGATGTCTTTGTTGTTTTCAGTGCGCTTGTTGCTCTTGCGCTTTCCCTCTCTCTTAAGTGAGCTCTACTTTACTTTTGCTCGTTGGCAACATTGCTTTGTCAACATTTGTATGAAATTTGTTGCTGATTGATTGATGCGCAACATTTGGAAGCAATCTGTTGCTCGTTTGTTGGTTGCCAATATTTTTAAGGAAGGTGATTATTAATTTCATAATTGTTCATTTAGTTGGTTGAACATATTAGCTAGTAATGGCAGAAAATCAATTGCTCAAATAAAAGTTCACTTTTGCTGTTGCTTCTTAAGCTTTTGGTCCTTGGCAACATTTGCTGCTGGCAACAAGTTGAGTTGAATAAGTATACAAACAATATGTGTATACATTCATATGAACATACACACATACATACATATATAATGAGTTGAGCTTTAGCCTGATCAACACGCTTTTAGATTGACATTAAAATATTTAAATTTGATTATAAATTATTTAAAAATAAATCTTGAATTCTGCCAGCGTCAAGCCGCAAAGGATTTCATATTTAATTAACAGGCTCAGCTCAGGAGCACAATGAACACTCACATACACACTCACACACACATTTGCGCTTTTGTTTGTGCTCTGCGCTTTGTGCATGCCAAAATACTCGTGAAAAAGGCTAATCAAAGGATAGCCAGAGTGGGAGAGAGAGAGAGAGAGAGAGAGAGGAAGGGAGACAGAGGAAGCCGGCAGCGGGTGGCAAGGGAGTTAGGTAGAAGCGGGCGTGGCTGAAGTTGAGTGACTGACTGACGGACTGCCTGATTGCCGGACAGCTGTGCTGACCGCTCGCCATGCCCATTTTGGCAAAAGCCTTTGTGGCGCTCGCTTCGCTTATGCACACAGCACACACGCCTCGCCCCCTTTTGCTCTTTCATTTCGGCTCTTTTATTTTGTTCTTTTTCTTTTGCAATTTGTTTATATTACATGTGGCAATGGGTGGGGAGCTGGGGCAGCTGGGGCACCATGGCATGCCTGACAACTTCAATTGGCTTCAAAGGCAACGCGCCGACTGACATGCCACGCCCCTTATGGGGCTGGCATGGACTTTTTGGAATAATTGGAGCAGCGGCGCAATTTGTGGGTGTTGACAAAAGTGTTTGCCACACATCAAAGCGGACAACGGGACGAGGGGGCGGCGCGAGTTCAACTAATTGTTGCCAGCAGCGAGCAGACGGCATATTTAAGCAGCATGTTTCAAGCATGACTTCATCTTGACCTCGCAACGACAGCAGACGCCAGCAGCGGGCAGCGGTTGCCCACGCAAGAAATGCCAATGGCTACACACACAAACACACACATACAAGCATGTGTCTGAGTGTGCGTGCAGACAGCTTGTCTGCTGCGATTTTGGCGTCGGCGCTTTAAAAGCTCTTTTTATTGATGAAGCGAAGTCTGAGCGTCGCAACATTGTTGCCAGCACTCATAAACATATCTATGTATGCCTGTATGCATGCTGCTATGCAGCTAGGAATGTATGTGTGTGTGTGTGTGTGCCATGCAATGACAATGACAAACGGCCCTGCAATTGATTCGCCGCGCGCAGCTTTAACTGTTCTCGTTGTTGTTGTTGTTGTTGCTCTTCTTCTTGGTGAACTTTGTGTGTGGTCTGCTTTGATACCCTATTAATAGAGTGGATCAACGAGCGGGCATATTAGCTATGCCGAGAGCAGACGTTGACGCTGCGGGCGTGGCAGGCAATCGAGTGGAAGAATCTCCAACAGAGTATGGCACAGTCGAGTCGGCGCTTATGCGTTTTATAGCCGCGCTCGCCATTTAAGCTTGAGTGCCTTTTCTAATTCACACTTTTTTGTCGTTATCGTTGCTGCGGCGGCTGCTGCTGGCCCCGCCGGGGCATGTGACGACGTTTGCGTTTTTATGCGTCCGCTCACAAGAGCCGGCAGACGAAGAAGAAGAAGAGCTTGGACCACACACATAGCCGAGTCTAGGCGTACATAAAGATCAGACCCAAGTTGCAGACATGCTCGGACGTGATGAATGAGCAACGGACAGACAGGCAGCTAACCTCATTATCATCATCATCATAATGAGCATTATGATCATTATCATATGGTCTGCTCGTCCGTTGTCAGCTTTGTGTGTGACTTTGTCGCCGCCGCTTGTCATCGTTAACATCGCCTTCGCCGTCGTCGTCGTCGTTGTCGCTTTTTGCCTTTGTCAACGAATTCGCCGTCGCCGTCGCCATCGGCTCCGCTTTTCACGGCGTTTCGTTTAATTTGCAAATGAGCTTTGCTTGAAAAGCTCAGCCAAGCGTCTGACAGTAGGCGGCATTTGCAGTCGCCGTCACCGTCGCCGTCGACGCATCGCTTTGCGCATTGGAATGCGACGTGCAGCGTGCAGCAAATGCAAAAAAAGGCTAAAAAAAAGCCGCCACACGTGACTGGTCAAATGACCGTAAAGCGACAAGATTTTGCGCTGCGTTAGCAACTCCAGCTGCCGTTAGCTCTACGCTAACCTGACTCAGCTTCAGGTAAGCATACAAATGCACGTATTCCTTTGAACCATATTTGAGGTTGAACTTAACACATTTGCCGAAATTTGCTAAACGATTTGCTATTCAAACAATGCGAACCTATTTGTTTACCTTATGTGAGGAATACAAATGTGAGAAGCTAAAGAGATGATGTTGCGATGCTCTTTCAAAATGTTTCTAGAAAGATAAGGTCTATCTATCTGTCGTAGAGCTGCGCATCGTTTCCCAATACTAAACGTGAGCTTTCTTGGTTAGCTGCCGCAACTGTGATACCCTTTCCAAAAGAGTGAGAGGGAAATATTCAGCTATTAGCTGCAAACAAGCTTTACTGAGTTTTAAAAGCTCGCCAAGGCAAGAAAGCTTTAAGAAATAAACATTTACATATATGTATGTGATTTCTTACATCCATAACACATTATAGCATGGCAAACATGTTGCGAATTCCACAATTTCCAACGAAGCGTAGGGCAATGCGCTTCGCATTCCAAGCTGAAGCAAAGGCAAGTGGGCGGGGCGATTATAGGCGAACGATGGCAACGCCCGCGTCTAATGACAGAGCCCCTCTAAAGTCTGGCGTCTAGCTTTTTGGTTTAATTTTTTTTCTCCTAATTTTTAGGAATTCAAAATTTGCTTAGATGTTGGATTTGATGAGACAAGGAGAGCGGCTGGCCAAGGGCAAGGGGCGGCTGATGAGGTATCGGGGCACATACGAAGCTATTTCCGCGGAATTGTTTGTCTTTTGTTGTCGTCGCGTCTGGAGCGGCGGTTTGAGGCTTTGTTTTTCTTCTCTGCTTCTTATTTACTTTTTTGTGAATTGAATTTCGAAAAAAAGCAAACAAGAGATAAGAGAGAAAGAGCAAGGGAGAGACAGAACGAGAGAGATGGTAATAACAATAAGAATAAAGATCAACAACAATAGCAAAATAGCCAGGAATTCTAGGAATTCATAGGACAGACAAATTCATTCATAGGCTCAGCTCTCGATTGAATTACGAGAGGAAGGTCGAGGTAGATCAAATCTAAACTGCTTACAGTTAAGCCGGGTAGAGGACTACATACACACAGTTGTAGATCCCATCCAATCTAAACTGCTTTAGGGCTGTTTTTATCATTGTAGGCGGGATCTGTCGATTCGCAGAAGGATTTGCGACAATAATTCCCGGAAGTTGGACAAACAAAAAACAAAATTAAAACCTGAGCAATTACTTCAACTGTTTCGACTAAGTTGAACTGGTTGTTGACCTAAATTTGGGCTACAAACAGCCACGCCCACTCTTGCATTTAGTACCATAAATCACGGCGAGCCGATGTCAACTGGCTGCGGCTCATCAACGTGTGGGTCACTGGCAAAGCGTAAAAACTTTTGTCGTATAAATTTAGAAATTGAAAAACCGAAAGAAATCAAATTTTGGTAGACAGAGATCCCAAATGATATATGTATGTATGTATGTATGTATGTGTGTATGTATGCGTTCATTGGAATAAAAAAAAAAATCTAAATGTAAATAAACTTTTATGCTCGCTTAGATTATCGATGGGCATGAGAGAGCATATTAGTTTCCATGAAATTTATGACTTGCGTATCACATTGACTATAAGAGATAGAGGATATACCACATTTTAGCGGTTCGACGAAATATTATTATCATGTACATACATATAAGGCAACTTTTATATCTAAGTAACTTTCATTAGGGTATCTAAATTTCAGTCCAACCCTAGTCAAATTCACTTTCCATCTCATCATCTATTAATCCATAAAGCCGAATCTCAAATATGCAGGTCGCAAGTTCAGTTTCTAAGTCAGACAACACCTCTGCAAAGTTTTATCTCACTTTTGATGGTTAAGAGAAATATTATTTTTGTTTTTATTTCTGTCCCAATTTATGCTAATC